GGACTGGCTCCAGCTTACCCCACAGCCCAGCCCCGACACGGTTAATGGCTCCGGCACCAGCTGGGCTGCGTGGCTACCCGCTCGCCTGATGTGCTGAGCTGGGGCCGTGCTGACCCCAGCCCTTCCAGATGGCTGCCCGCGCGCTATCTGCGCCGGAGCTCCCCGCACGCTCGGGTGAGCAAACAGCCCGGGCGGGCATTCCTGCATCGCCGGGGGACGCCCGCCCCAGCCCGCTAATGGCTCGGCCCCACATCTGCCCATGGCTGATTTAACCGCCTGCCTGGAAAACAACAGCTTGCCGGGGCCGGCGTGAGGGCAGAGTGCCGGGGGGTGTCCACTGGGGGACGAGACCAGCTGCCACCCCACGGCCGTGCAAAGGCCGGAGGGGCCCGGAGGGGCAGAAGCAGAGGCAGGAGACGGCAGGCCCCAGGCCAGGGGTGCAGACCCCCGCCAGGCCCCCACCTCTTGACCAGCCTGGCCTGTTCCCAGGAGCTGGGTGAGCACAGGGACAAGAGCACAGCCCCAGCCCCCTTGCAAGAGCTCCTGGCTGTGGGCCCGACTGGCTCGGACCGGGGCTGGTGGGGCAAGTCCGGGGGAGTCCAGGGCCGGGTGCTGGGACCCGGAGCTGAGTGCCATGGCAGGGAGGAGACCCCAAGCAGGCTCGTGGCACACCCGTGGGGCTCCCGCGTGCCCGGGCTGGGACAGGGCAGATGCCTTGTGGCCATAAATCTCCAGGGCTGCTGGTCGCCTTCCCTTGTGCTGCCCCGGGAAGCCAGCGTGGGCCAAACTGAGCCACGTGCAGGAGGCACCTGCACCGGAGCCAGGGGGTGGCCGGGGACACGGAGCTGGGAGGTCCTGGCTGCCCCGGACTCGGGTGCTGCGTGTCGGGGGCACCGTCGCCACCAGTCAGGCCTCCCCAGTCTCCCCCCAGCTCTCAGCAGCTGACCAGGCCTTCGGTGGAGCTCCTCTCCCCTGCCCGGCCCCCTTCGGCCAGCCCTCCCCCGGCTGGGCTGGGCTGGGCTGGTTGCTCTGCACAGCCCACACCTGCCCAGGGACCAGGCACGAGGCGCTGGCTCCAGCTCCGCGACGCAGGGAGGCACCGGGACCAGTGAGCCTGAGGGGACCCCGGTAAGAGCCCCCCCAGGCAGGGGACCTGGGGCGGGGGCTGCAGAATCCACTGGGCTGGGGTGCCCGGCTGTCCCCGCACCTCTCCCTGCCTGCCTGGGTGTCCGTCCAGCCCTCCATCCACCCCGGGACTTACCTGTCTGTCTACCCGCATACACCCGCCTTCCACTTCTCGATGCCCGTCTGTCCGTCCCGTCTACACCCTTTATCCATCCCCTCGTCCGTCTGTCCCCACGTACAGCCTCTGTCCACTCCCGCTTTCTGTCCGTCTGTCCCTGTGTGCACCGTCTCTCCATCCCCGATACACCCGCCGTGCCCTCCCCTGCCCGTCCAGCTGTCCCTGCGTGCACCCTCTCCCTACGCGCCCCGGCTCCCACACGCCCACCCTGTCCCGGGCCCATGCCAGCAGCCCGTGCCCCTGCCCTGGGCTCTGACTCCACTCCGTCCCCAGCGCCGCGGCTGCTCCATGCTGCTCCAGGATGGCGCCTGGCCCAACAGCACCGTGCCGGCGGGCGAGGAGCGGTCTCCCTGTGTGGTGGGCATCGTCCCCATCGTGTACTACAGCGTCCTGCTGGCCCTGGGGCTGCCAGGTAGGTGGGACGGGGTGGGGGGTCTCCGCACGCTGGCACAGCCCTTGCTGCCTGCCCAGAGCTGGCTTGGTGCGCCCCGGCTCTGTGCCCAGCCCAATGCACCCCGCATGAGGCTGGCAGCCCCCAGGACCAGCCCGGGGGCTGAGGTATGCCCAAATGCGGCAGCCCCTTCCCGTCTGGCTCTGCTTTGCCCCCAGCCAACGTCCTGACGGCAGCTGCCCTGTCCCGCCTGGCCGCCCACACCAAGAAGTCGTCGTACTGGCACCTGCTGGCGCTGACGGCCTCGGACATCCTGGCCCAGGTGCTCATCGTCTTTGTGGGCTTCATCCTGCAGACGGGCATCCTGGGCCGGGCGGTGCCAGCGGCCGCGGTGCACGCCGTCACTGCGCTGGAGTTCGCGGCCAGCCACGCCTCCGTGTGGGTGGCCGTGCTGCTGGCCGTAGACCGCTACGTGGCCCTGTGCCACCCGCTGCGCCACCGCGCCCTGTGCCACCCTGCCCGCAGCCGCCGCCTCATCGCCGCCGTCTTCACCGTGGCGCTGGCCACCGGCGCCCCCTTCTACTGGTGGCTGGACGTGTGGCGCGACGCCGACCCTCCCACTGCCCTGGACCGGGCCCTCAAGTGGCTGCACTGCGTGGCCATTTACTTCCTGCCATGCGGCATCTTCCTGGCCACCAACTCAGCCATCGCGTGCCGGCTTCGGCGGGCGCCGGGGCCACGCCGGGGCCGGGACCGGGCCGGTGCCCTCCTGCTGGCGGTCACCAGCGTCTTCGCCTTGCTATGGGCGCCACGCACAGCCGTCATGCTGTGCCACCTCTACGTGGCCTCGGTGCGCCGCGACTGGCGGGTGCACCTGGCGCTGGACGTGGCCAACATGGTGGCCCTGCTCAACACGGCCCTCAACGGCCTGCTCTACTGCTGCGTCAGCCGCACTTTCCGCCGCGCCGTGGCCGAGGTGCTGCGCTCCTCCTGGCCCCTCCGTGCCGCCGGCCATGCGTCCCGGCAGCCGGCCCGGCAGGGGGGCTCCCCGCCGCCCCCCGCACTCAAGGCGCTGGGGTTGCTGCGTGGCACGCCCCTATGAGGCCGCAGCCAGACCACAGCCACGGCCGGGGGCCGCCGGGGGCAGCGTGGACTGTGCGTGGCAGCAAGGGGCCCGGCTGGGGGTGAGCTGGAGCGTGGCTGGGGTAGGCGGGCCCCAGGCCTGGAAGCCTTCAAGAGACACCCGTGATAGGAGCGTAGGTGCCATGGCCACGTGCCGGCAGCGCCTGTCCTGCCCCCAATAAACCCCGGTTCCTGGCCAGACAAGCTCTCCAGCCTCGTTCTTTGCACGCAAGCCAGGAGCGGCTGCCGCACGGGTCCCAGGTGCCACCGATGCAGGGGGCCACGGCTCTGCTCTCTCCACCCAAGTGTGCAGCGGGGCCGGGATTTCTCCCGCCGGGCACCCGGCTTGCTGATCTCCCC